GATCGAAATTATTTTCAATAAAGGAATCAACTCGATAACCACGCAAGGAATATGATATTTATAAATTGTGCTCTTAAAAAATTTCCGTAAGAAATCTATGCAATAAAATATAATATTTAAAAAAATGGGTGCTAATCTAATTAAGACAAGGGGGGGGGGGGTAGTTTTACCACACAAAGCACCTAGCTAACGACGCCCGTTTGAATTATTTCTAATTTGTATTAATTATTATATAAGTTTTAATTAAAAATTTTAAATAAAATATACTATTTATAAAATACACTTTGATGTCGTTGAATAAAACAGCTGGCGACACGTCATTTTGGTTTCTTTTATAAAAAATTTTATATATCTGATTGGCTTATTTAATAGCTGTAAATTAAGATTATATTGCAAATATTGTTTGAATATTACTTGGGATTATCTGATATATTAAATAACTTAAATATTTACCTGCATATAAATTCATATTAATACATTATTAAATTAATCCATTTGACTGAAAATGAACCAAAATCGACCGAATATGATGAAAGGAGGTCCCTCCGAAATAAATTTTTATAGCAGTCTATTTTACATTTAGTCTTAAAATTTAATTGATAACCCCCTATATAATTTACCATATCCCTATTTTATCGTCAAAAGACTACTACCCCTTCTTCACCCAGGCTATGTGGAACTCAATATTTACTTCTTTAATTTGTGTAGAATTCTCCTTATAAATCTTATTTTTAAATTTATTTTCCCATTGTCCGATAGCTTTGTGAATTTGAACCTAAATATTTACAAATTTTAATTGTCTTCAGAAATATTTATATCAAGGTTATCCATTTTATATCTACATATTCCCACATATTCGGTTTTTTCTTTGTTGACTTTTAGTTCATACTTTTCTAAGATACATATATCAGAATCGTTAGACTTTCTTTTATTTTGTTAATAATATCGATTTTATATTAACCTTAATCTAACTTTAATTTATTTTTTTGTTATAACGCAACTTAAATATTTATTAATATTTTACTTTAAAATTTAATCAACATAAATATTTATGGGTTCTTGACATTTTATTAACGCGTTAATAAATAGTTGAAATGCTTATAGTGGAAAAGAATTTTTAAAAATGGAAAATATAAAATCAAAAATAAAAATGATTTCAAATCAAAATATTAAAAAATTTATTCATAAAAAAGTACAATCCTCATTATATTATAACCATGTACATTATGATAGTAGATTTTATCCAATATTTCAGCAAGATATCAACTGAAAATATTTTATTGCAGTGAATTGAATTTGAGATAGAATGTTATATAGCATATTTACTATTATGAGCATAAGCAGCTATAGACTTAGCCTAATTTTTTATTAGGGAAGGAAGTATTAGGTGGGTTTTCTTATATAAATATTATCGGGGATCTTTAAATCAACTAATTGAAGGCATTTAAATATAATAAATTTATAAAAATAATTCTGTGGTTTCACTTTTTAAATGAAAATGCTTTTTTGCTAAATTTTTTGAACTATCTATATTTAAAAAGTTGTGAACTTATTTTCTTTCAAATTCTACTTGATAGGAATATATTGTATACTTTTTTGGGGAAGATGGGATGGGGTTTGAATAAGAGGAATATATTTACGAGAACAAATTTCCGAAGGGGTTTTTCCCCTGTTCTTTTTCCCTAGCTTCGCAACAGCAGTGACCTTATAGCCGACTCTCTCGACTAAATATGATATTCGCAGATATTGTAACACTTTTATAGGATGAAATGAAAAGAGATTTACAATTAGAATTGAAACAATGAAAATTACCTAAACCAAAAAATAAGAGTATTAAGATATTTTAATTTTTAGCTACTTTTAATTATTGATATATGAAAAAAAAAGCAGTAAAATTAAATATGTTAGAAAATTACAATTGCATGTCACTCATTTATTATTTTTCTTAAAAATAAGTTAACCATTAACTTATTGCAATTTTTTTTAAAAAATCAAATGAAACAAAAGTGGTATCAAATTCAGGTTATAAACTTTATTATCCTGATAAATATAATTAGTTTTATAATAAAATAGATTATACCAAACGATAAACAACAGGAAAATGTTCCTTCTGAAATGGAAAAATCTCTCATTGAAGAGTTATTTGATTTGGCGGAGAAATATTATGAAAAGGATGTCGATAAATATGAAATAAGTAAATTAAATATATAATATCAAAGGATTTGTTATTTAATTTTTTTTATTTATTAATTTGTAGGCTATAAAAAGAGGGATCATGATAGCAGATACTTATTTAAATTATCAAATTCGGGAACGTATTCTGACAAAATATCCTCATTGGTTTTATTGGTTCAGAATTCACCTTTACATAGTCTTAAATACCTAAGATTGTTGAATAGTAAAAAAAAAATCCTTTTTAAAATAATTTATTATATTTATGAGATGCATAAATCCGCATCTTTCATTTTGTTTTAGATAATATATATATATATATATTATGATTTGTACACTAGTAAAGTAAGAAGTGAAATTTTATATAATGCATTCAAGATCGCAGGTTGTGCTGGTCAATTTTTATATAAAAAAAATGGGCCAGGCTTTGAATATCTTAGTTTTTTTTTAAATTTAATTTGAAATTAATTGGGCCCAAAACAATTTTTTGCCAAAGAGACCCATAAATTATTTTTTGATGAAGGAAAAATTATAAATTTTGTTATTTAGGATTTTAAAAATAACATTTATTTATATCCCCAGTAAATAATTTATATTAACCAAAACTATAGGCGACTGCAAAATTTTAAACTAATTTTAATTTTTTTGCCTTTATATATCTTTAAATATATTATTATTGTTTTCTCCTTATTTATAAAAGTTTTTTGTTTTGAAATTAAAACCAGATATGATTAAACTACCTAATAGAAGGATTTCCCTGATGGTCATAGAAGTGATGAGAGAATTATACATAACTGAACTCTTACCTCCAAACAGAAAACTTAGAACTTTTGTTCAGCAACCTGAATTACCATTCCTGTACGATTATTATACTAGAAATATCATTGCTCAACCAACAAATGGTGTTAGTAATAACAATTGATTTCATATTTATAAAAAAAATATATCAATCTTCAAGATCAATAAATAAAACCTAAATTAATTTTTTCCCCCAATAATCATTTAGCCAGCATATTAAAACTCCTAACATAATATTTAGCCCAGAAATATAATTTTTGTTTTTGAGTATTTATTCACTTGACATTTTTACTACAAATACCTTTTTAATAATAATAAAATTAAATTTTAGCAGTTTAAATAAATCGAAATTTTATAAGAAAAAAATAATAATTTCCAATGATATTAAAGGATTTTGTCGTTGAAGTTAAGTATCTTTAAAAAAAATCTTTTGATGCTGATATTTTTAAATTTTTTATATTAAATTACTTTTTGCCAATATTTTATAGGTTTTCTTTAAAAGTTTTTTCATTGTACTTGTTAAACTATAGGTCAGTGTGTTCTGTATAACTTTCCTTAGGGCCCTTTAAAACAATATCAGTATGATTATTTTTTTTAAATCTTAAATATTACATTTTAAGTTGAAATGGTAAGTAAGATTAAATATATATTTCTCTCTCTTCCAAAAAGCAAGAAAGAAAGGTACTAATAACATTCATCATCTTCCAACAAGTTTTTGTGGATTATCCATAACTACACTTGTAACAAGAGCGTTGTTAAATGCCTCGTTTTGAGCCCGGACTTGATATTTCATCCTAGAATTCTATTACGCGAGCCTGAATATTTTGTTTGTAGAAGGAACAAAGTTTTGGGCATCTTTCAGCGCAATCTCGAGGCTTAGGCAATATTTTCCTGACTAAAATATTGAGTTTGCCGGTTTTTTAAAATATCGAGTTATTCGGTTTTTAAAAATATCGAGTTATTCGGTTTTTAAAAATATCGAGTTATCCGGTTTTTAAAAATCGGCTCAGTACGAGCCCTTTAACAATACTAGTACCAGGTGCAAATCATTTTTTGTAATTTATCGTAAGATATCTTATCTTTCTTAATTGTAATAAAATTTTCTTTTTTTTTTATTAGATGTTTAAAATTTACTTTTAGTTTTCGTTACTTTAATATGAATGTATCACGTAAGTTAGAGGGTATAAAAAAGAAATTTATTCATAAATCCTTCACCTTTAAAGCTTTGATTTCTTATAAAAATCCAACTTTTTCCGATTTTAATCAAAAAAATCAATGATTTAAATGAACCCTCATCTTTTACACATTTTATCTACCATGATTATTCACCAATTTATTAAATAATAATGTCACATGATCTATAAAGAACAAGGAAAATAGAAATGTTATATTATCTCTTATTCTAAATCGATTGAAAAAAGTCCATAAATGTCAATCATGTATCAACGGATACAACAATTACGTTGCTGTTTAAATTTTTTAAAAATTACCCACTACACTCCCCCATATAAAATAAAAAGAAATCACTCGTTAAAAAAACCGTTCCAACTAAATTGACCCAAGAAACGTTTGAATCCCTCCTGTCGATCCTCTATTTCGAACATTGTTTGAAACGCGACGTGTTTTCATCTTTCTCGCTTAAACTCCTCACCAATTTCTCCTCAGACCAAATCCAAGCCTGTAAGAGTGCCGCCCTGTTAACCCTCACACAATTATTGGAGTACTCCCCCGAGGGCGAGCTATCGTTTCTCAGATGTTTGGTGGATAAATTGGCCGACCCCGATACCAAAAACGGGGGCTTGGCTGCCCAATGCATTAGGAGGGTCGTGACCAGACATCCCAACATGAAACCGGCTGTTCTCAAGGAAATAAAAACGCTCGTTTTCGCTAAACTCCTCACTAACTGGAACAATAAACGTTTTTTTTTAAATTAAATTAAATTTAATAAATTGGAAAATAAGGTTTCATATGATTTATATATTTCTAAAATAAATAAAAAAATATCCCAAAATAACTGAAAGTTTTTAAGTCAAAAATTGATATTTTTTTTTATTGGGAATATGGGTAAATATCTATATTATATTATTTTATCAGTTAACACTGTGACCTGAATTATTTTTTAAAAAAATTTAAAAAGTTTTAAAACTTTAGCAAATTTTTTGAAAATTATAATTATGTTTTGGACATGTTTTAATCTTTTTATATTTAAAATAGCTTATTTATTAAAATCACATTAAAGTTTGCGAATTTTAATTTTTTTTGATGTTTTGGGCACAGCCTGAAAAAATAATCTGCGTAGGTTTTTTTTATGATTAACCAATCGGGTCAATCTTCAATGACATTTAGACTGGCGATGCATCCATAATAATGTATTTGAAAGCGTCGATGCAAATCAGCTGGAGCCGCCATTTCGGTAACCCGTTTTAGTTAATTATTCTCGTGTTAAAAACTTATCTTGCTTCCTTGTCATCTCGATGATCGGGCAATTCTTTAAATAAGAGGTTTGCGTTTTGAAATAATGACACGGGTAATCCAAAATGGCGTCTCCAGCTGTTTTTCATTGATGTACGCTAATGAATGCATCGTCAATCTAGGTATTATTATACATCATAGATGTGAAGATATATAATGTGTAGACGATAAAAAAAACAAAAAATTACAAATTAATGATTTGTGATTGGTAACCCACCATTAATGTTTGAATTTAATTTTTTTATAATAATACGGATACGTTTAAGCATCATCTCGCGAAGATACGCAAGGCAAGATTAGGGAACGTGCCATTTTACGCATAGTGACATTCGTCAGATCCTCCTTCATCATGGCCGATAAGGTGAAGGATTCCAGCTTGGCATTGGAAATGGTCAGAATGTTTTTCGCCATTTTCAAGGTAAAAATCCAAATCGATAAATCCATTATTTTATGATATTGATTTTACCCAATCGATCCATCTCTTTTATTAACCTATACTTGTACCAATAATATAATGATGTTCAAATTTTATTTCTCTCTTTCCTCTATAGTTTTTAAAAAAAATGACAAATTTGCTTAAATATATATTTTATTTTATAATCTATTATAATACGACAACAAGGAATTGCTAAAAAGGGGGGAGAAAAATTACCCGCCGAAATTGATGAATTCCTTATTTTTGGGAGTAAACAGAGCGTTTCCTTACCTAGATCCTAACGATTTTTCTTACGGAGAGATCGTTCAAGAGATTCACATCTTTTTCGAACTAGCCAACAAAATGGAGTTTAACAATAGTGAGCTTATATTATTATTATGAGAGGATTACACCAATATTACCCGTGTTAATTATCGTCTGGTTGAAAAAGTATCGGATGATACCATAAATATCGACTCGATACATAATTTCGTTACATCTCCGATTTAGCATTATATATTCTCTATTTTTTTTAAAAAGTATAGTTGTGCGCATTTTGATTATAATTAATTAATCGACTCACGCTATCTCTATTTTTTTTTTGAAAAATAAGGTATAGAAATACTCATTTTTTTGTACCAAGTCATATTCTCGGAGGAAAATGAAAGCTCACAAATTTCCAACGAGGACCTCAATGCCAGGTATTACAAATGCCTCTACAGGAAAGTGCTAGATCCTCAATTTAAGGTTTCCTTCAAGCAGGACAAGCTATTTAATCTCCTTTACAAGGCTATCCAACGTGATACGGATCTTAATAGGATAAAGGTTTTAAGTCATTATGTTTTTTTTGTTTTTAAACGCTTTAGAAATTCCTGGCAATTTTATATTATTAACTAATACTGGATTCTAATTTTTGACTTTATATTTTAGTTGCGTAATCATTCAGCTAAATCAACAAGCTCAGGTCATAACAAAAAATTAGCTGAGCTTTGAGGCGCTAAGAGATTGAGCTATCTTTTTTTGATAAAGAAAATCCTGAGGCTAAGGAAGATGGTTTTTGGTTAAAAACTTCGGTTTTCAGCTTTTTAAAATCGGATTTAAAAAATATCTAGCTATTTACCCAACTAGACATAGGACCATATTTAGCCAATTTAGCGCTTAGAAGTGACAAGAATTTTTTATCTTTTTTTTTTACTACAGAGTTTCTTCAAAAGACTCTTAACTCTTTGTCTTTCCTCTCCGGTGCCTTTTACGTGTGGTACACTGGTTATCCTGTACGAAGCTCTCGAAAAGCTTTCATCCTCTCAAACTGCCTCAATATCGCACGAGGATATATTCTTCCCTTCCCGCCGCTGCCTAACACCCGATTCCGATCCCGTTAACGATGCGGCCATCGTAGTGCCTGGAGGAGAGAAGGGCATCAAAAAGTTTGACTTTGGCGCCAGGGATCCTAGATTCGCGGGGGACTTCGAATATTTTTACGAATTTTATCCGGTAAATAAATATATCTAGGAGAGTATTTTAAATATATACTATACCTCGATTGTAATTGATACGAATAAAAATTCTAAAATAATATTTTAGCCTTTTTTTTATTACTGAAGAAGAATATATTTATTTACACGAGGAAAATTGATTCATCGGGAAAGAAAAATAATATTTGCACGTTGCAAATAGAAGAGGTTTTTAGAGAGCATTATAATACGCGTCTAAATTATGAATTATTTTTTTTTACAAATGTTAAAGACGATCCTTTCTCATTAGTAGTGTTGTTAAACGGCTCGTTTTGAGCCGATTTTTAAAAACGGCTAATTCTTTAACTACAGGCATCGTTCACTTCTTTAACATTGCTTTTAAGATACTTTCAATGTTAAAAAGATAGGTTACGCGTTTTTAAATAGCGTTAACGCCCGGATGAGGCATGACCCAACACGAGTCTTATTTTAGGCATCTTTTTGCCCGTTGGATCCATCTGAACATTATTATATATACAAATCACTAAAAAAAATTTAAGTTCCTCATGCTGCACTAAGATTTATCCTTTTAAACCCCCCCCCCCCTTAATGAAATTTAGGACCATTAAATAATAATTATTTTTTGTTGTTGTTAGCTGATAAAGCATTTCCATCCAACCGTCTCTCTCTATGCCAATCAACTCCTGGTCGGCAAAAAGCTTACATACCATGGGGACCCGATCAGAAGTTTCTCGCTCTCAAATTTCCTGGAAAATTTTATTCTTAAAAATCCTAAATCATTATCTACAACGAAACACGGTAACAATATTTCATCAACAAATTATTTCTTCTATTTTCTTTTTTGAGAAAAAAAAATTATTCTCATTTTGATAAAGACCCTATTATAAATTTTGTTTGATTTTCTATATTTCTATCCAAATTTTTTTTTGTTCATGAGCCCAATGAAATATTACCTAGGCTAGACCTAATCATATGGTGGCACGCCATTTTGGGTTGTCATATAAACAATTTACGTCAAAATTTTTTTTTCAGTTTCATTTATATAATATTAATGAAAAATTATATGGGTGACCAAAATGGCGGGTCACCAGCCAATTTGTATTTAACTACGTTTCAAAATGCATTTTGATGAATGAATCCTCAGTTTAGGTCAATGATACATATATATACACTACTAGATTGTCGATTCATTTCATTAAATGCATCTAAAAATGCTCCTACATCCGAGACCTTCATTGGCCAGACCGGTCCATACCCCGTCTGGGCCTTTAACTATATTTTCTAGCGTGCTTGAATATTTTTTTATAAGGGTTTAGGCTGGACTTGGCCCTAAAAAATTTTTTTAATTTAAATTCAGCTTATTTAAAACAGTTGCTAACCTAAAAAAAAATATTGCAATTCTTCTAATAATAGTAACTTTCGTATTATTATTATTATATTATTAAAAATCATTGTCTAAACACTTAAATATTGTTTATTTTCTTTGATAATAAATTAAATTTTTGGATAACGGGGCTCATAGAAAATTTTTTATGAAATGGACTTGAGAATTCCTAATATTAAATAAGGGGTGGGGAGCTTTAAAAAAATCTTTTTCACTTGGACCTGATCAAAAAGGCTGAGACCTATGATTAGATGATATACATTAATGTGCATTCATATATTGATGAATAAGACGTCGACATGCAAACTACAAAATGGCGCCACAGCCGATTGCTATGGTTATGTAATATACACTATAATATTAATGATCCTCAGTTTATATGCATAATTAATTTAAGGCAAATATTACACACCCTTGTTATTAAACACTCTTTATTAATTAATGCACCTATACTTTTATTAAAAATAATTTGGGACAGGACAGTTATATTCATCATACATTGTAACTTTTACAAAAGTAAAATGAAAATTATTTTTTTCACATAAAATTGGTTATACACCCTCCCCCCCCCTCTTTTTATTATCCATAGTAAGGCAAATATATTAGTTAATTTAATTATTTGTTATATATTTTTATTTTCTTACTGAAATTATTGTTTATAACCACGAAATGTCCGAATCGCAGATGACGATGCTACTCAGGAGACCAATGCAACCTTAGCAGATAGAATTAGAATGACGAAAAAGTGAGAAAAAAAATATTGTGATTATTGTAAAATAATGGTCTTGTGCGCCAATGGAAGAAATTGGGTACGGCGGCGTTTTGTCTTAAAACTATTAGTGTAGTGAAACAATATCGCTCCTAAATTTCTTGCTTTGAATAAAAAAAAAATTCGATGTTTTTTTAAATTTAATATTTTTGCATTTAAGCGCTAAAAAATGGAATCATTTATTTGGAATCAATTTTCGCTTTTAAATTTACGAAATTTTTATTTAAATTATTATAATTGTAAAAAAAAAAAAAATTATTGTTTAAATTTGAAGGGGCATTGTGAGGATCTTATCTTAAGAAGTGCGCTCAGTGAGCGCTTGCATTGGGGCTGAGAATAGTTTTTTTCTCCCGGTTAAAACGTAAAACCTTGAAAGTTTTTCTTTTATCCAAAATTTTAGAAGAGGAGAAAATAATGTAAAATTCTCTCTTTTTTTTAACTCTTTTCAGAATATCGTTTCCCTTCGATTTTTTCTTATAGTTTGCTTCAGATAACTCATTCTATTAGTTTATATGTGATATGGGGTGGAGGGAGATGGAGTTAAGTAGGTTAAAGATAATCTATTCCTTTAAACGAATATCATGTTAATATTTGAAGAAAAAATTGCAATAAAGAAAATAAAATCTATATTTTTCAAATTAGGGAGTAAAACTTAATCATCTAATGAAATCTGACTTATCTGGGTGATAAGCCGACAAAAGACTGTGATTGGTCTAATAAAAAAATATTGTTAAATCGGCTGATTATTTATCCCGATATATATGGCGTCCCTCACTTCATATTGGGATCCAATCCGGCACAATTTAACAGCTGAGCGATTATCCTTACGGTGAGATCAATTCTTCTTTATTGAAATTAATATTAATGAAAGAAAAAAATTGATCTCATCAAAACAAGTTTTGTAAAAAAAAAATCGATCAGCTGTTAAATCGTGTCCGTTTGCATCCAGCCTAAAATCAAAATTCCGGCAAATGGAATGGCAACATATGACATATGTCACCATCTTCATAAAAGTAACATGTTTTTTAAATTATAGATCTAAAAGAATCAAAAGTTTCACAAACGCACCTCAGGCCAAAAGGAATAAAACTTCGAATGAAGAAGCGCGAAAACCGACCGATAATGATGCAGACGATAGAATAAAGACGATCTTTAAATCGTCCTCCAGGAAAGTGATGAGCTTTAAAAAATTGTCGAAAATCGATTTCGCCGACGATTTCGTGACAGGCATCAATAAAAATAATTCGAAAAATAAGAACAAACGCAGGAATAGCAAATCGTCAGATACCGATTAAAAAAAAAATTTTTTTTTTTTAAAATTATATATTTTTTTCTTGTATGTCTACGTCACGCCTAAAGTAAATCTTATGACGTCATTGGTCACGTGTATATTTATAATTATAAGACCCATCTTCTAATGCATATAAACGCCATTTTTTTTTCTTAAAACAAAAGAACATATATAAAACAACTTATAATATTCTTCTCGAAATATATATTGAAAAACGTCAATAAAATGTCAATTATAAATAGACAGATACAACAGTCATAAAATAAAAATATTTATTATAATTGTATTACTCTCTATTTTTTACAGTATACGAATTTTTTATTGTTTAAATATTAAAAAAAAAATTTCTTCGACTATTTCTATTTTTTTTTATAAAAAAAATATATATGTGTAAATTAATTTAATTTGCAAATATTCTAATTATCATTTAATTTACGATTCTTTAGAAGAAGCGCGAAGGCTTATTTCGTGGGAACCAGAATGATTGAATTTAGACGTAACGCGTATGTTTTTTTTTACGATATAACCTCGTGTCACGTGCCCAATTTGCGCATTCTGTTCAAGAGGGCATTGATACGTTCGTTTTGTTCCTCGACCATTCCTCGAAATATTTCTACGTTTTGGGGGGAATAGGCGGATCCGACATTTTTAGACATTTTAGTCTTATCCTTTTTCTCGTTTCCCTTTTCCTGTTTGTTGCAAGCCAATCCCAGTTGCAGGTTCGCCATTTCGAGCTTAACGTCCATGTCCTGCAATTTATTGACTAAAGGAAATAACAGGTAATTCATTTTGTAGGACAGTTGTTGGAGCGTTCTTTTGATCTCGTGCGTGTTGATAACAGTATCCTTATCATCAGCGGAGGGGCCAAAGAATTCGATCTTTCGGAAAACAACTGTGACTCTAGCTTTAAAGGACCCTATTTTTGCTTGTAAAAATGTCCATCTCTCCTGACTCTTGAGCAGTTTAGCTCGCAACGCTTCCATCGCTTTCGATATCTCATCCCGCTTAGTTTGCTGGGAAGCCATCACGTGATATAAGTCCTTTTTTTAAATATATGCACAAATATTATTTAAATTAATTTTTATTTCGATAAGCAGGGATTTATCATTCCCCAAATTTTTTTTAATGCAACTAACAAATTACAAGAATTTCAGGGTGGGTCTGGATATTTATTTTTAAATTTTGTGGTTAGACTGCGCTTTAACTATCGAGCAGCATAACTGGTGCGGGTATAGCAACCTCCCAGAAAATTTAAAATTGTTATCACAAAGTTGGACAATATTTTGACCTGGATTTTTCCATAGCCTCACTTATTTTTTTTGTTTTAGTTCTTAGAAACAAAACTCTAAAATGGTGTAGCTCTTAATAACTTTTATTCCTTAATATATATATTCTACACTTGGCAGCATTGGACTTGGATCTGTCCATACAGAGCTCTGGAATATATATTTTAGACTTTGTAGCTTTTAAATATAACAAACCACACAAAGTATGGAGGCATATTTTTTTAAATTTTGGGGGTATGAAAAAACATCAATTATGTGAAATATTTTATGCACCTAATAAGTTATTAAATTTTATAAAAGATTTAAATTTATGATCCAAATTTTAAAAAAAATATAATTTAAAATTGAGGTTTGTTCTTACTATGCCAGTGTTTATATAAGTGTTGAAAATGTAAAAAAAAATGAATTTGTTGAGTTCCACCTAAGATAAAGATAGACGATAAGTTGGAATAGAAATAAAACAAAATGGTGACTTTCATTATTGATTAAAGGAAAAATCTAGAAATAAATAATCAAATTAGATTACATATTAAAATATTATATTATGAATGATAGTAACCTTTTTCTTGACTAACAAATCATCCAAAGCTTGGTTCAATTTAGTTACATCTAATCTTCCATTTTTGCCCTTTCCGAATAACATAGTATGGTTCTGGAATTGTTCGGTATTCATCAGCTGGTCCTTCACTATGAGTGAAAGTTCATTCTGATCTTCCAAATGGGTGGCTAAACTTTGCAAAAATGTCGAATTATCTTTATTCATGTATTCTCCAGCATCGAAAGTGTGTTGTTTCAAGCACGAATTGGAATCTAGAATATATATTTCAACCATAGTATTTTTTGTATCCTTCGAAAAATTACCTGCCAATGGAACAAAATTTATATCAAATCCATTCAAGAAATTATGTTCATTTTTACAATTAGATTTAAAATCAATTAGTATTTCCAGACTAGAAGATTTAGAAACTTCTTTGGCTATAAGATATAATCTTTCATCCCTGGCAGCATTTTTGTCCTGAAATAATTTCCCAGAATTTAGGCTAAACATGCTATTGAGTTGTTGTATTTTGGTAATCCAAGGAAAATGGAACATGGATATGCCGCAACTAGGTTGAATGACTAAATAGCCTACGGGGTAAAGTGGTGATATGTTAGAATGAGAATTGTTATTATGGCAAAATGGGAAAAGCTTTATCGATGGTTGAATAAATGTTTTAACAGTATCAAAAATGTAAGCATGATAAGTTATTAATGACTCGGATAGAGGAGGGTCCCTAGAATGATTCTTATTTAATGAGGGTATTAATGCACAGTGTTTAAAAATACAATTATAATGGTCTTCTGAATAAGATGAGTTCTCATCTTGAATATTGCCATTCACATTTGATGATAACTCAAAATCTACTTGACATAGGACTAATATATTTGGGGATATTGAAGGTAGATAAATCATGGAGTGATACTCCAAATTTATGTCATCTATTTCTTTTCCTGTAGGAGTTATATCGAGATTATAAAAATGTGAGTAAAAAATATTGGAAACATTTTTCTTTGTAAAAGTATTGCCAAAACTATCAAGCCCTGCATATGCATATGGAAGGTATAAATATAGACTTAGAATTGTTCCATCAGCTTTCATAAACAATAAGGTATAAGAAGAATTGTTTTCAACATCTGTGGTAATTAAATCAGGGCCTACTACAAAATCTATATAAGTTTCACCTAATGCTTCAGATATTTTTAGGCTAGATATATGAGTGCTAGTTTCAGATATTGAATTATTAGGATCCCCAATATTATCAACAAAATTGATGTTCATTATATTGCAAAAATATATGGGAAAATTTGGGTAATTTAATGAATAAATGCAAAATATATTTTGCTTAGTTAGTTTACATACAAAACTATGGTTATAAAAGTTTAGCCAATCACATTTTACAATGTATTGCTTATTTTCATCATTTGAGAATATATTTTTTAAAGTATAATTTAAAGTATCTTTATGTACATCCCCAATAGGCTTTAATTCACATGCTCTTTCACTTATATAAGCTTGATCATCTTGTCTTAAATAAAAATCTCGAATTTCTTGGATAAAGGGTATATTTGTGTAAAATACATTTTCATTACCCCATAATAATACTTGAATAGAACTACTTTCTCGATTTTTTACATTTAGAGTTATAGTATGAATATCATTAGATGGTGATGGTAATAATTTTAGGATATGATAATGTGAATATATGTCCTTTTGTAATTTACCAACTTTAAAACTTTCCCAAAATTGAGTGTGAGTTATGATAATAGTTTTATTTACTTTGCAATATATAATAATTAGGTCATTTAGAACGAATATGAAGTCATTATTAGTCGTATTTGTTTTAGAATTATAACTAAATTTTTTTAAATAATCTTGTAATGAAATCTTTGATTTATTCATTTAAAATCAAAAAAAAATAATTTAAATAAAACCGCACCCAGTACTTTTTATTGAATGATGTAGTCGAAATCGGAATACATAACGAGTGAAGGAGGGTTAGGCAGAGAACGATATTTTATTAATATATATATACATTAAATTTTAGAAGATTCTCTTAACTAAATCTTACTATTTTATAAAATAATATACACCAGAAGATTCAAAAACCATTATTATAATTATCGACTTTATCAAGGGATAAATTATTTTAATTACTTTAATACTGATTTGAGTTTGTTTATAGAATAATGTACCCCCTTGAAAAATACAGTAATAGAATATATATAAATTTAAACTCGTACTACCTTAATTATTTTATATATTATGATAAACTTGATCTATATTAATAATCGATTGTATAATTTTATTTTAAATTAATTATTTTTATCGTTATTCCTCTTCTCATACCAAATCTATCTACTACTTATAATATCTTTTTTTACAACCTAAAAAAGTTATAAAAAAAGATAAATAATTAATATAGATGGCGTTAAATACTTGTTATACGTTAAATTTTAATTCTCAATTATTTTAATTAAATAATCTCATTATATAAAATATTTTTAAAGTTAAAACATACGAATAACTCTATTACTAAATTAATCATGCCATATTATACCGAAATTATGCAATTTATTTTATCATTTTATATAACAAACGACTCTTATTAAGCGTAAACATAAATCGTTATACTATATATAAATAACTTAATGGTAATTCAAGGATCGTGTTGAATAAAAAGGAGAGACGGTTAGCACTCCCCTTGATAAGGACGGATGGGGTCTGTATTGACCCTTATCAATACATTTATGATGTTTAAGGCATCATTGTGTATAGGCTTCGTGCCTAACACAAACCATTTTTTTTTTATCATATGTTATTTTTTTTTGTTCTCCATTTAAAAACTCATGTTTTATCTTTATAATAATGTTAATGAGATTCCACCAATAGAAATTTAGATATAGGCTTCGCGCCTAATATAAAACATTTTTTTTTTATATCATATGTTATATTTTTGTTCTCCATTTAAAAACTCGTGTTTTATTTTATAGTGTTGATGAGACTCCACCAATAGAATTCGCGCCTAACACAAACTATTTTTTCTTATTCAGGGTTGAGGAGACTCCATTAATAGAAATTTAGATATAGGTTTCGCGCCTAATATAAAACATTTTTTTTATATCATATGTTATATTTTTGTTCTCCATTTAAAAACTCGTGTTTTATTTTATAGTGTTGATGAGACTCCACCAATAGAATTCGCGCCTAACACAAACTATTTTTTCTTATTCAGGGTTGAGGAGACTCCATTAATAGAAAATTAATAGAAATTTAGATATAGGTTTCGCTCCTAATATAAAACATTTTTTTTATATCATATGTTATATTTTTGTTCTCCATTTAAAAACTCGTGTTTTATTTTATAGTGTTGATGAGAATTCCACCAATGGAAATTTTAAAAAATTATTTTTCGTTCTGGCCTGTAAATTTTATTTCCTGTAAATATTTTTAATTTTATGAAGATAATGTGAGAAATTCAGGCTTGGGCCCGTAAAAAAAAATTTTGCTCAAGTTTTACTAACAAAGTCTCAATACCTTTTGTGGGGTCAGGCTTTTTGGTCTGCGCTAATTTTTAACTTAGAACAAGATTTAAGACCTACCCTTTTAAGGTAAGTGTTGTGATCGACGTTGGAGCGTTGAGAGCTTTATCAGGAATTATTAATTATTATTATGTATCTGTAATTTCATGATATTATATTCTTTGCTTAAGGATTAACATAATAATACATAATCAAATACATTCGTTGACATATATAATAGTATGATAGTGAAACGGAGGCCAATTTAAATTTAGATACTCTAGGTATTAGTAAAATCTAAGATCTTGAGAACATTAAAATAAACATTTTTCTCTCTTATAATCCACTAAATAAATGAAATTCACAATTTCACAATTTTTTTCAAAAAAAATTGTTACAAAAAGCTAAAAAATTTAAACTATGTATTAATTTTTATTTCAAAGTCTGCCCAAGCCCGCCTAACGCGGGAAATAGACATAAGCTAGCCTATCTCTAAACCTTAAAAAAAATTGAGGAATATTCGGCTCATATATCTTGGTAGGAATTCTCTACCCTGAAAATCATTTTGCCGCCCTTCCCCATACAAAGTCTAAACTGTCGATCAAAGATAATGGAAGTCTAAACTGTCGATCAAAAATAATGGCTTAAAATTTCTAAATATTTTCAGAAGATCATATCTTTATTTCAATAATACCCGCACACCTGTAAACTTGCATTATCCTTCTACAAA